GAAGCCCATTTTTTTTGGTTGTGGCACCGGTACACGAATAGGAGCAACCAAAGTCCTCTCCCTCCTATTTATAGCAATTTAAGGCATAACATGGCAGTTCTGAGGGCTTGGGGTCAGGGGGTGGGCACAGAGATTGGGTCATGGAGTGGTGATGAGTCAATGGGAGGGCGTGTTTACCGGTTTAGTTCCTGGCAGTAGGCCAGTGGCAGGGTTCTGCCAGTAGAAGGCTAATACGATGCGTCTCAGCAGCTGGAGGTCGGGACTAGAGGGAGAGGAGAACTACTGGTTCCTTGGTCCATGTGAGATGGAGGTTCCAGCTCACTCTGTCTGAGGCCGGATGCGGCACACGTCCGAAGCCTTCTCACACAGCTCGAAAGAGGCAAGAGCTTGGATCAGGTGTAGACTACATTTGGATCAGATGAAGACTAGGTGGCTCAGGTGTTCACGTCATGCTCACCTGCTGGTAGCGCTCTGGGTGACGCTCCCTTAGAGTCCGACTCCTGTAGCGGAACACATAGCGACATCCCTTCTGTCGGTACTGCTGAGGGATGCCTCCTCTGAGCGGACCTTTGAGCTCAGGTGAAGAAAAGAGTTCCTCTGACCAGCTGGCCAGGTACTGAGCCCAGCAGCTCGGCAGGTATCGCTGGAGGAGGAGGAGGAGGAGGAGGGGAATATGAAGAAAGCATGTATGGGATAGAGAGAGAAGATGGAGGAGGAGAGAGAAGGTGGAGGAGGAGGGATGCGGGGATGGGCGGGGTTCGAGGGGGGCAGGATGGAGGGGAATGAAGGTGTTGCTGTACCTTGTCTCCTTTCTCTCCTTCATATCCGTTACTTTGGCTCCCCTAAAAAACAACAAGGTCAACAAAGCAACAAAGTGATCCGGAACCGAATCTGATTTAATATTATAGATAAATGAAAGTAGACCACTGGTTTACTCACCATTAGCCCTGGAGGACCAGGAGGACCAGGCCGGCCCTGAAGACAGACAGAACACACTCGGTTTAACAGTCAAAGGCCAAAATCAGAAATAATATTTACAAAGGCTGCAAAATATATTCGTAGATGGGTTTATATGTGTGTCTGGACTGATTTAATGTTGGTTAGAATAAGTGAAATCATTAAAAAAATACATAAATCTAAATGTGATTTGTACATGATTTTATATCAATTAATGGCAACTATAACTTTAAAATATATTTAACCAATAATGTGTTACAGGATAATAATAATTAACATGAGTTCATGTTATAAATTAGTAATTAATTTATTACATTCGATCCCATTTACTTTATTAGTTTATTTATTAAAACTGCAGTAGTAATTCTGCAGTTCCAACCAACCATCATTAAGAGCGCTGCACAAAAACTGAAATAAAATGAATGTCTTAAATGCACATTTTAACTGAATATGACATTAAGAGGCAGAGAACAGGGAAGGAGATCAATAGTTTACATACGCTGAATCCCTCAGGCCCCCTCACACCAGGAGAACCAGGCCGACCACTCGGGCCTCTGATACCCTGCAGAGAAAAAACACTACCGGGTCACAACTCGGCGCCTAAAGGACACATCATTTACAGGTTATTTATTGAGCAGAAACAGCAGGAATCTTACCGGCGGACCGTCTCTTCCTTGGACACCCGGTAAATTCTAAAAAAGGACAAAAAAGCAAAACGCAACCTTTTAATTTATTTTTCTTAATTACATATTTAATTAAATGTCTAATTTCAACGACAATACAGGCACTTTAGAGATTATTAGGGCTTTGTAGATGACGTCTATGCTAGTGGCCACATACAGCATTGCAGGCTGCATAAAACATTGCATGTTAGTTGCAGTTGAAACCAAATTGCTTTTATAAAGAAAAATAATCCAATAACTTTTGTTCTAACATCCAAGAACAAATTCTCTAAAACTACTCACTAGCAGTGATGCAAAAAGGAACCAAAGAATAAGAACTAAAGGAAATATGAAAAACACAGAAAAATCAAAGAATAAAAGGGGAAGAAGAGCTCAGGGAAAAGGATGAGGAGGAAGAAGAAGTGACAGAACGTAAAAAGGCAGAAGAAGAAGACGGAAGAAAGCTCACCGTGAGATCGCCAGGGATATATTGAGGTTCTCCTTTCTGACCCTTCGGCCCAGAAGGCCCCTGTTGGAGTAAAAAGACGCCATCACTATCCATCGATTGATATTCTCCTCAAAGACGACTTCACAACATCCGCAAAGACACGAAGCGATGCAAAGAGACAACAGAAGTTTGTCCTCACAGCAAATCCAGGTGACCCGGGTTCTCCGTTCCCGTAGCCGGGCCTCCCCGGTTCTCCTCTGGTCCCGTTGCATCCGTCCAGTCCCGCTGGTCCTCGCCCTCCGTCCTGACCAGGGTGACCCTGCGGAGGGACGGACAGGAGGACGCTTCAGGGAACTCCAGTGTCACAACTCAGGGAGAAGGCTTCGGGACCCGTCTCTTTTACAGATGCTGCATCATATTTGTCTACTTTTGTTACCTCAACCTTACGGTTATGCTTCCTGTGAGATATTTGATTCTCAACATGACACTGAGAGGCCTGACTGAGCCTTCTGACCCTGAAGGAACAATAAACCTTCTCACGGGAGGTGAGAAGGCATCTGAACGCGTGTTGTATGTGTTTGTGTTACGTACTGGTACTCCATCCGTTCCTTGGAAGCCCGGTACTCCCATAGGTCCCTGTGTAAGCAGATAAACATTAATTTATGATCCGTTAGGAGAGCGCCACCTGGTGCTGGAATCATGCCACTGAGACTCTTTTTTGCTGGGACGAACATTTGGCGTTAGCGGCGAAACATCCCACATCAGCATTTTCATCACCCACCTTGTCTCCTTTGGGGCCAGATGGTCCTTTCAGCCCAAGGTGGCCCTTCTCCCCTTTAGGTCCTGTGGGCCCGGGGCCCCCCCGGGGCCCCTCTGGTCCGCTCTGACCGAGCTCACCGAGCGAACCGGGACGGCCCTGAGAGAGAAGAGAGGAGACACGCCGCCTCTTCAAGCCACTAAACAGACCGATATGAAAACCTCGGTGCCACCACAAAAAGGTACCGATAACCCCCCCGTGTGTAAAGTTTTATTAAGGGCTAAATGAATTATAGCAGCAGACATAATACTTTAACCTGCTGTGAAGGGTCAAGAACTAAATGCTGCTCCATTAATCGTGTGTTTAATTAGATGTCAAATATGTGTCCATAAGAAATACTGTATTTAATTGACATACACTTAAAATAAATCTATAAATTTATAAACTGATTCCAATTTCTTTTTTGTGCTGCAGGTGACAGGCTGCACTACCAGTGCCAACCACGTGAGGGCGGTGTAGACCCAAAGGAACCACACCAACAGGTGGGTGAAGGAGTCCCTCTCTTAGAGGAAGGGGTCCCTTCAGACGCGCATTCGCCGCACGGCTCACAACCTGCCATTAGCTCATGTCTCAGGCAGTCTAACAGGGTGGAGACAGGTGGAGGGCGGAGGGGGACACAGATGTCGGGGTCAGAGCGAAGTCACAGGAGCTGATTTTCAGAGGGATAAATAATAATAATACACTCATTCACCAAGAAGTCAGTTACTGGGAAAACAAACCGGTGCTGCAGATGCACATTTAGATTTGATAGGAAACGTTATCCTTAACTTAAAGGAGTACAACATAGTTAGGTAAGAAAACCCCACATAATTACATTCACACACACACACACACACACACACATACTGTATACTGTATACGCACATGCACAGAGGACACCTCGCCCTTCATTGCACACATGGTAAAGATTCACACACTCCTCCATTACACAAAGGAAGGTAAATCTCTTCCCACACGGGACACTGAAAAGGGTCAAATACCAGTTGAAAAAACAATCTTTGTAGCGTTTGTTTTCGTCTGCAGGGAGGACCAGCCGGGTGGAGTTTATGAGATCCGGACCATTCTTGCTGAACTTTACGTTTTATCCCGTGTGGCGCGTCACAGGACCGTGATAAGCTAAGCTAGCCCTCTGGTATAAACTGTGCATGTTCAGAGGGGGGGCGGGTAGCAGTAATGACAGGCCAGGTAACGCTGTCTGTCTCACAGCTCACGCTGACACCTGGTTTCACCAGGAGGAGAAAATGATGGGCCCGGGGGGGCTGGGCTCCACTTTCTCTCACGCCTCCGCCCGCCGCTCGTCGCCCTCCGTCACCTTGGGCTGGAAACTCTTTCACACATCGCTCCTCCCGCGGCACGCTGATTGTATTGTCTCGCCCCTCATCTCGATCAGGGCTCAATGGATTCAAAGTAAAAAGCTAATGAGTGTAAGAAATCCTGTGAGAGTCTCCTTCACGGTCGGCTGGAGGAGAGAGAGAGTCTCCGGTTAATCCCTAACAGGGCACGGCCTTCATACCTTCCCTCTGCAGAGGAAGAAGATCACAGAGTGGACATGAAAGTGAAAGGATGAAAGCGAACTAAAGAGGAGGGGAACCAATAAAGAGCACGGTTAAGCCACCAGGAGGCTGTTTGTGGGAATGACCACTAGGCGGCGATCTACTAGTCCAAATCCGATAGAAGCTAGAGGTTTGGTGCCTACAGAAAACATCTTCTCAGTTCTTATGACACCTAACCATTCGACTGCTGCAACAGCGGGCGGTTTGTGGGATTTGCCGCCATCTAGTGGCGAGGTGGCAGATTGCAACCAACCGGGACTCGTCCTGTGTGCCGGTCTTTGGTTTGTCCCCCTCTAAAGCACAGTGGAGACGTGACCGTAGAGACATGAGACATGAGAAGACATCGCCGGCTTGTTCTACGGTGCCGAGTGAGTTATTCACTCTGCAAACATCATAGCAGCTGCTCCGCCCGTCGACCGCTGGCAATCCCCCGTCTGTTTTCATGCCAGCCCGCCGGGTCTCCGGCCCGGCCCGTCCAGACCTTCCACCCTCATCACCTTCCAGCAGACTGGTCAGTTTGTAGGCACAAATCCCCTCCAGCACAAAGGGCACAATGGAGCCCATTCGGGGCCACTAAGCCGTCTGGACTTACCGCTCCCGCCGGGCCGACCTCACTTCCTGACGGCCCGAGAGTGCTTGGACAGACAGATTCTGGCCGCCATGCGTGTGAAAGACTGCTTTGGGCACCGAGTGCTACGGGAGAGGAGGGGGGGGGGGTGTTTGTCACGCTGCGTGCTCACAGGGGGGCGGCGGTGGGTGCGACGCAGATGCAGAGAGGAGCGAGGTTTGTCGATATGTAACATCTAGAAACAGCAGTTTCCATCAGACAACCAGGACCTTCAGAGCCTCCCAGCATGCATCTCTTCGGACCGGTTCCCATCACCTCCTCTGCACATCTGACTCATCTGTTTGTTGTAATGGCCGCCATTAAACCCCTTTTCCATCCAGGCGCCCCCCGCCCCCCAATAAAAACCCCATTAGCGGTCAACGGGGGGCCCAGCTGTCCAGCGGTGATGATGTCACGAAGCCGCCGTGCTTTCCCAGCTGTCGGGACGCGGCGTGGGCTGCAGCACGAGGACGGAACTCAAGTTAATGAAGTACAAAAAACAAACTTTGTAAAGATCGTTGTTTCCTTCACTCTGTGGCATCATCTAAATCACAAACTGGTACTAAAAGCCTCTCTGACGTCATCGGTTGGACGTTGACTTCTGGTCTGAAACGTGATCTTTTTAGTTCTTCCTCCTGACAGAATGCTTATTGTTTAATATCGATAGGTGCTACAGTTTTAGCATTTAATACAGCTGCAAAAGAGAAAATTCTCCATACGAATGTAGAATGTCCATATTTCAGTGTGTGTGTGTGTGTGACTGTACCACGAGGCCACAGATAAAGAACAGCAGCTGTAACTTCCTCCTGATCCAATCAGACGCCCACCCAGCCTGCACCAGTTCTTTAGTGTCTCTTTGTAGTCATTAAGTGTCCCTTTGTGGGCTCTTTTTTAACCCTCTTTTGTTGTTTAACATCTCTATGTATTCGTTTTGTGACGTTCTCTGCTGGTTTTGTGTCTCTTTTTGTATTTTCTGTATGTCTCTGTAGTTGTTTTGCATCTCTTTGGAGTCGTTTGTGTCCTGTTTTGGTAGTTTTAATCCACATTGTGGTAATCTTCTGACCCCTTTGTGACTTCTCAACACGAGAGGCTCAGTCGTCCCCCATTCCCCTCCGTCCACACCAGGCTCTGCGTCACAAGCCTCTTCTTATGCTTTTCTTTTAATACTGTTTATCGTAAAATGCACAATCAAAAACAACACACACACACACACACACACACACACACGCGCGATGAGCATCAACACGTCTAACAGCGTTCCAGTTTGAGCTTCAGTAATAAGAGGGGTGGAAAAAAAATCCTAAATTATAGTTTGGATTTGTGTTGAATGTCTCTGTGAGTGTGTTAAATATGTGTGTGTGCGTGTGTGCGTTTGGAATTGTCATAAATAACTGTGCCGTCATCATCACATCAAATCACAAGAGCCTATAAAATCAGTAATAACCAGTTTGGTACATTCCTTCAAGGGTTTGCTCTTTGTGGAGGTGTGTGTGTGTGTGTGTGTGTGAGACATTAGATCACCCAGAATATGTTTAATTCTGTCAAAGGATCCATGTTCGGATTAGAAAAGCGTCTTAAAAGTATTAACGACCGATGACTAAAACCTTCTCAAATCGACCTCTCGTTGGCTGCAGTTCCCCGGGCGGCCTTGTGGGGGCAGTATAGTGTGCACTGGAAACGCACACCAGCGGGTCTCAGTCCCAATAAAGTGCCTCCATTGAAAGGAGGATGAAAAGACAGAAAGGATGTGGTGCCCATTTACTTCTAATTATCAAGACTTTTCCTGTGTATTTCATTTTTAACAAACGGAGGTCAAAAGTATTCCTTCAACTTCAATGTGTGTGTTTGAAACAAAGTTACGGAAATTGATGCAATTCCCAAAAGAAGGGAAGCTCAGGGTGGTGACAAAAGACACACAAAAGACACACACACTTGAGTGTGTGATTCTGGAGCCGCACACCTGCTCTACGCTGGGCCTTTGTGTTGACTGTGACCTCTGACCTCTGCTACACTCAGTGTTTGGCGACGACAGGAGCTGCCTGTGACAGACAGGTGTGTGTGTGTGTGTGTGTGTTTAAGAGACAAGTTCAAAGGCATAAATTGCATCATTTTTCTATCATCTCAGATGGAAACAAAAGGAGATTTTTGTCTGAGGTGATACGGCTGCTCTATCACCATCTTATACATCTGTGTGTGTGTGTGTGTGTGTGTGTGTCGAGACTAAACGCAAACAAAGTCCACCACCATTTATTTTTTAAGATGATAAACGGCATGCGGGGGCCCGGGAGTGTGTGTAAGTCACACACACACACACACATTGACATACAAGGCGAATACAAGCATCACAATCTCAAACATGGGCCCTTTAGAGGAGGCCGGGACGGAGAGAAGGAGGACGATCGAAGCCGTCCTGCACGCTGGTCTCCTCAGAGTGCGTCTCAGCCTCTTTGATGAAGTGAGAAGAAGAAGCGACAAACTCAAGTTCCTCAAAGTCACACCAAATCAAATAAGCGAAAACCTTTAGTCTCGACACACCTCTGTGCGTCTCTGTTTCAGTTTGCATCCATCTTCACTTCCAACCTCTGACTCTCTTCACTTCCTTCCTTCTGTCCTTTATCTCCACTCAATCCGTCCAATCTTCTCCCTCATGGTTCCACATTAAAGGGATTCTCTCTCTCTCTCTCTCTCTCTGCAGGAATTCAGCGATGGAGAGATGCCATCTTTCGCCGAGGGGCCCCCCGCAGGTGGGGGGGGCTTCATACCTCCTTCCCCCTATCGTCCCGTCCCACCGGGACACACATCCACTATCGCTTCACCCGCTCCGTCTTTTTTTAAATAAGGACTCTCTCTTTCTCTCTGCGCCCGTCCTCTGTTACTGCCGACCCTTTGTAGTCTGGGCGTGTGAGAGAGCGAGAGACAAAGAGGCAAAGAGAGAGAGAGAGAGAGAGAGAGAGAGAGATGTAGTGGAGTAGGAGGGTTAAGTAGCATGAAACAAAGTACAAGGATGTCAAAGTGAACTCAAATGTATCCACTTTACTGTCACACACACCAAATGGAACACACACGTCCCGACCACACACCCGCCGTCCTGTCATTCCCAGCGCTGCCCTTTGACCCTCGGAGAGAGGGGCTCGCCCAATGGGATGAGTGGATGCTGAGGGACCTAAAAGGGAAACCCTTCGGCTGTCTCTAATGAGAAGCGGCTCAAAGCGACACACGCCGTCTGGACTGCGTCTCCGCGGTGTTTGTGTTGAGGGCGGATGCTTCACCACCCGGGGGTGGTGCGGGGGGAGGGGAGGGAGAGGGGGTCCTACTTAGGTCAGAGCAATGGATCTAGCAGCTCCAAGTGACCCACCCACCTGGTTCAGGACTTTATCCTTTCGTCTCAGGCACACAGAGGGGCGTGTTTGTGCTTCTTCTTGTTCCTGATCTAACCAGACGCTTGTTAGCCAGAGGAAACATCTTTAGCTCATCTCTCTGTGCCCCGGCACGTCGGTCCTGCCCTCCTGCTCTGATATATATTATAATAATAGCAGTGTGAGCAATGCCCTGCGGATATATCGACGTATCCACAACGGAAACAAGAGGATTTGTGTTTTGTTTCCAATGTTCTAAGTGATTCGCCTTCACACCTACATAATCTGAGAGCCAGCGGCTAGTTAGCTTAGCATTAAGTCACAAAACAGCAGCGATTGATATCTCACAATTCAGTTTTTGTGGCTTCGTGAGCTTTAGTGGTGTAGGTTCGGTTAGCTTGGCGAGCTGTCCCCCCCCCCCAGCGCTATCCAGCCTTAAAGCTAAGCTACGCTAACGCCAGCTACAGACCGACCAGCCTGGTACAAGTGTAAATGTGGTGCATGGATGCACATTGTGGATCAGTGCTACGTCTTCGTGAGCGCTACAACACACCCGCACGAGCAGCAACTACCCGCGGACGGCACATGCTGTTCCCTCTGTGATTGATTGCAGTTGATCTTGTGATAATCTTATCATTTGTTCAAGTGGGCGACCGAGTTTCGCCTCGGGCATCAACACGGCACCACCTGAGCCTGATTCAACTCCCCACTTTGTGTTGCCAGAGCTCCTGCTCTGTAAAACAAACAGGTATCCTCGTGTGACCCGGGACGGTGCAGGAGGTCATAACGAGCTCGGGCTCGTGTTTTTTTTTGAGGACATGTTTCTGTGGAATGATGATATTTCGGATGGGGGAAAAAAAAAAAAAAAGCGCGTCTCCTGCAGCCACCCAACCCTCCGTCACAATGTTTTCCCTTAGTGTTTCTCCGCGAGAGCAAAAGTAAAACTGAAAAGAGACAAATAAGCACCTTACCGCTTAAACGCGCCGCTTTAAAGAAGGTAATCTAGCGGCGGGCGGCTGTGTCATTGAGGGGCGCGCAGAGGGCCCGTAGCGGGGCCGGTAGGGGCCGTTACCTGAGCTGTATCATTTACCTACAGGTACCTGGGAGCAATGTGTCATTTACCTGGACGGGCGCGCGCTGTGCGCAGGCAGTAAGTGCAGGCCTGCGAGGCAGACGGTAATTGTTGTTTGGATGCAGGCGGAGGGAGACCCGAGATACAGGGGGGAGCAGTTAGTCTGCTTTAGGCCAGATGTGCACACACACACACACACACAGCGGTCCGGTTTACGTGCACGCAGACTCCATTAAAAGTAGTGTGTATTTGTCGTATTTCCAGCATCCACATGCAATAATTTGCAAATGAATTTGATTAAAAGACACAAATGACCCCTAAATTAACGTTATTATATTATATATTGATAATGTAACTTTGTTGAATGCCATTAATAGCAGTAATACTTATCTGATTAGATACGTTTATGTCTTTACTCCACTTAAACATTTGCGGCCTCGACCCCTCCGACCCGCTGCAGCCCTTTAGGGGCTCGTTAAGTTAAAGGGAACCTTTATGAAGCCAGCAGCTTTATATTGTCGTGTGAAACACCCACGAAACCTCATAAATCAGCTGCTCGGTTCGTCTCTCCTAAAGCTTCTATATTCTATATCTCCACACTTTAAAGATGTCTCTACGCTCGTGAAGGCCCCCCCGGGCTTCAGCGTCCCGGCTCCTGGTCAGAAACGATGAGACGCGACTCACCCGGCTGCCTTTCTCCGGGTTGCAGCGGCATCCTTGGCCGCAGTTTCGGCCGGCACACGGCTCGTCAAGCGTCCCCTGCAGAGGGGGGGAGAAGCACACACAAAACAAGAGGTGAGGACAACGCTGGTAGAAGGCACGTGGAAGGTTGGCAAAGACAATTTGACATTTAAGTCCACGTCGTGCTCCGTGGACGACCTTCGGCATCGCCGCTCGCCGCCGGTAACCCTCGCGGTGAACTACGGATTAAAAGGCTTCTGTGTTCGGGGGCGGCATTCCTGAGATATCTGCCTTTAAGACTTCATAAGAATCAGAGAGACGGCGCTTTCATAAGCCGACGTACGGGGGGGGGGGGGAAAGTGCAGGGTGCACGAGTCCGTCTGATCGCAGTCTGCGAGTGCTCGTAATCACAGTGATCGAGGTCAAGGAGCCTCGGGGGCCCCGCGAGGCGTCAGCAGGTCGCCTGGTGACCGGAGCCTGGGAAGCGCCGGTGGGAAACGTCCCGTCAAAGGGGGCCGGCGGGGACGGAACATTATTGTCGCCATAAATGTGCATGTGATCTGTCTGATGCTCCTAAAGCTAAATGGATGCTTGAAAAGCATCGCGACCAAGCTGACAAAAACACACATGTATATATTGTATAAATACTAGGATTGTATATAAACAGTATGTACACACCAGACATTTACGGCCGGGATCATTTTACTGCATTTCATACCACGCAAAAACTCCCCAATGTCAAACAACGTGGTGGAGAAGGAAGAGAAACGCACAAGGAGGCTTGGCACAAAGTATAGAGAGAAAGGGAGAAAGGGAAGGAGGGGAAAGGTCAGCGGCGCTGCTCTGATCTCCTCAACTCCTCTAATCACAATGACAGAAGGAGGGCACGAGAGGGAGAAAGTGACATTTGGGCTGACGGAGGAGGCAAGAAAGGACAAAAAAGAAGGCGGGAAAAAGAAATGGAGGGAAGCCAAAAGAGAGAGAGCAGCGAATTATTTTGCCAAAGAAGCTAACGAACAAGAAGCTAAAATAGAGAATTAAAGTCACTCCAAATTGATTCAACAAAGTTGTTTTCAGGTTAAGCAGAAACATGTAAAAATAAAGAAAGCCTGGTGCTCTTCTCGCTCCCGTCTCTGTATCCCGTTGCTCTTATTACTCCGCTCCATTATCCTCCTTTTGTTGAGGCGTCCGTTCCTCCTCAGGCGCGATCCAGTCCCATTGTCATCGCCCTGAGACACAATCCGGCCTCCGCCCGAGCAGGGCGGAGATCCCGATTCAGTTCTCTCCGTCCACGCCCAGCGTTTAAAAAGCAGAGGACAACATGGACGGCCAATGGACACGTGGTGCGCGTTAGCTGGACGCAGGAGATGCTGCACGAGGACGCGACATCTGCCCCGGTTCTTATGCAAAGGTTAACAAAACCCGGAACATTTTCATGGTCCTCACTTAGGCACAAATGCGCGATTGATACGTGACCCGACCCCCTTCGCCCGGTTACTGGACTCTGGCTGCGATGGGACGCTTCTGACCCGCAGAAAGTCGACCCCTTAAACTGGCCGCCGGTGGCGGTGGGAGGGGCTTCTGAAAAAAAAATATGTGCGGTGACGAGATCCGGTTCCTCGGAGCTACATTCTCCCCGCGGAGAACAAAGAGGACAATGATGTGAAACCCAATGGGTTCCACAATGCGAAAGCCACTTGATCATCTAATCACCTTACGCCCTCTGAAACACAACCTGCCCCCCCCCCCATTCGGCGTGAAAAGACCCTTTTATGCTGGAAGGTTGGAGCCGGCGACGTTAAGTTGGAGGAATGTAAATCTGCTGCAGGGTTCGACTCGCACCCGACGAGGGCCGCGATCCTCAAGCTCCGCGTTCCGTCCGCCGACTCGACGTGACGGGACAGGCCTCCGTCCTTTCCTCCACTCCGTCATCCCGGGGGGGCGTCCTGCAGCTACCTGCCCCCCAGCCTGGCTGACGTTCCCCCCGATCGATCTCTGCCCGTTTGACCTCGCGTGACGTGACAGGACACTTTATCTGAATTCAATTTAAAAGTAGCGAGATAAATCTTGTTGTTTGCGTTGCATTGTAGTGGAATTCCTCGCCGGCGGGGCGACAACCACCCGAGTGTGTCGTCTATGTGAAGGTGTGGCCAACGAGTACTCGACAGATGCATAAAATAAAAATAAACCGTCCTAAAAGGTTTAGAACAGGGGTCTTCAACGTTTTTCAGGCCAAGGACCCCCAAACTGGTGGCGAGATGGAGCAGGGACCCCCTATTCTACAGAGTTTCGTCCGCCATCTTTTATTTTTGAGCTTCTCGCTCTTTACGTGAGCAGGAACGCGATCTGATTGGCTGCTGCCTCTGCTGTCGCGTCAGCATGAAAGGAGCTGTGAGTGAACCGGTGCTTGAGAGCTGCTGTGGGAAGCTGGATGTGTGTTTTGCGGACTGAAAGATGACGTCTTCTCCATTAATTTATCCGTTGGCTACAATATGTTGGATTTATGTTAATGTGTAACAATAAAGAAGACAACAAATACAATTCTGATTCTGAAGACATTTCAATTTGTGGAAAAAAAATTGTCTTATCAACCAAAAGTTGCGATTCCAGGACCCCCCGTTGAAGACCTCTGGTTTAGAAAATAAAGAAAAAAAAAACATTTGTTGAAACTGTTTGACTGACAAGTGAACTGTGGGAATTGAAGTGCCGACAGAAGCGATTCGGTCAGAGCCGAACACCTGAAAGTGAATCCTGAAAACTCACGCTTCCCCTTCCAATGCCTCTAATCCTCGGCCTGTCAATCGGCATGTCATCGCACGCTGGCGGCCAACGGGAGCGATGGGAGAGTTTGCTCTGCCGGCCCGGGGCGGCTCTGTGCGATGCGCGCCGCCGAGCGCCGCGGCGACTCAAAGGAGGAGCCGCTGTCGGCCTTTAACCGGTGAAAAAACATGACTGAGATCGTCCCCGATGAGAGGAAGAAGAAAAGAGGAGAGGGATGTTGTCAAATAAAGTACGGCAAAGGGGGGCGAGGGAGGAACATGTGGAGATAAGAAGAGGGAGAACAAAGTCTCTTTTTTTCTGTCTTCTCTCCCGGTTATGTCTTCCCTCCCTCCCTTCCTCCCCTCCCCATCATATCGGTCCTCTCCCTCCTCTTCATCGCTGCACCCTGGTCCATCTGTGACCTCGACATCTACCACAGGAGACTAAGCAGCTGTGTTTGGGCCTCCAGCGTTCCTCGTTTACTTCTGTTTACTCCACGCCGTGTGTGTCCGTGTGTGTGTGTGTCTGTGTGTGTGCGGCATGGACCGCACTTGCGTACTTGTACACACGCGTTGTACTGTAGCGCGTTTCCTCTCGGGCCACCCAGCTAGAGTCAGATGGTCTGCACTCGAGGAGACGGGCGACCCAAACAGGACGTAAATAAAGTTGTGTTTACGTTGGTTGGCTGAAGACGAGCGACGTCAACGTAAAGACACTTAAACGTTTGGTTTAAGTTTTAGTGCAGCAGGAATTCGTTTAGTGTGAAGTGCCTCAGAGCACTGGACCGGAGGTATTAATCCATGTATTTTTACATGCAGCCCTTGGCTTCCATTCACTTGTTGCATACTTTGAACATTTGAACACATTTGATTTTTAACATGCATTTATTTTTTGTCAAACTTACATGTTATTGTCCCAAGTTTAAGCAACGCAGACAAAGCAGTGCCAGGGAACAATTGTTATATTGTAAAGAAATCAACGAAAGTGTGAAAGGTGGAAGCATTTTTTGTCCCTGACGGGGACATCTAAGGTCTTAAACCCAGATGCATTCTGGGACTTCACGTAAGCGGGTAGTAAACAGTAATGGAAATCTTTCCCAATCTCTGATGCATTTAAGACGAAAAGCTGTAAAACGCTTCAATGTCTCAACTCGGGAGAGGCAGAGTAAACCGAGATTACTTTAAACTAAGATTAGTTTAGCTAAGCCGAGCTAAATCTCCCCTGACACGGAGGACCGACACAAAACGCTTCATTCAATGTACATTTATACATTTCATTATACGTGCAGAAACACACACGTGCGCACTCCTTTCTCCAGGTAAGGTTCGTGCGGTTTTAATAACGGAGACACTGCCATTCGACAGCATCAAGATGCTGCCTGCCTTTTACCGGGTTTCCTTAAGGACAACGGGACGGGGGCGAGAGCGGGCACGCAGGCCCAACAGGAGCTAAGTAGCGTGTTTCCGCTAATCCCTCTGGCACGGGTTTATTTAGGCCCCGCCCACCTACAGACGGCCTCAGCGAAAGGTCGAGCTGAGATGTGCCTGACGCCCCGCCTCTTTAATGGCTGCCCCAGCCACGAGCACATGGCGGAATATGCGGGTTTCTTATTGTTATGTTTTTCGTGTTGCATCCTGAAAGCTTCATTCCGTGAATTATAATTTCCTCCAATCCTAAAAACGACCGCCCCTCCTCTCCATGGACAGAAGTGCTGTTGAGTGTGAACGTCACATGCTCTATTTAAGAAGTTCAGACCCCCCCCGCCGCCCCCATGTGACCTCCGTCGGTATTCCGTCATCCAGCCGAGCCGCCGCCACGCAGCCGGAATATGAGCTTCCGGTCGGCGTCCGGTTCCTCTCCGTAAGTCTCCCGGTGACACGGAAATAAACCCAAAGCAACATGTGCAGAACCGTGAGTGCACACGGGGTCAACGACCTCCGCAGACGTCCGCTAAGTGTCACAGAAGACGCAGTTTGGTGAAAAAAGGGGGGGGGGGGAGGGTCTATCTTAATTAGAGTCATAAAGGAAATCCCACAATTCTTTCAGCAAACCATAAAGCCGGTGTTCCCGTCTCCTGCCAAAGTTCCGATGAGCTGATCCACTGCCATCAATCATCTTTACAACCTGTCGGAACTCCAAATAGATCGGCACGTCCTCTAAACGTGTCAATAAATGCACATGTCCCTCGACAGGCCGGGAACGTGTCGGCTCAGTGCGCGCAATTAAAAAACACAAAAGAGCTCAGACGCGTTTTTATGCAGCAGAAAACAAACGAGAAGGAATGAAGAAGAACGCCCCCGTTTCTGTCTCCTCTTGTG